CTAGTATTTTTTAAATCATTGTTAGTAATTGTATCATTTTAGTCCCTCCTCTTTTCCCTTAGTGGATACGTAAAATATCTTTGGTTGTTCTTACCAGAATCATTTTGTTGTAATGTCAAACTTATTTTATTCCCTAAATATTGCTATCTGGTTTATGAAAAAATGTTAATTAAACTTCTATTACTCTTTAGCATAGAAGCAAATGAATAATGGAAATGTAACTTTGAATACTTCCAGTAGTATATATATTTCTCCCTGTGTGTGTAAATAGAGTAATAGAAATATAGAAACAGAAATAATAGAAATATATATTAGCATATATTATGTATATAGGAAGCTCTGGTGGCTTAGCGGTAAGAAGTTGTACTGCAGTCCTAAAGGCATGTGATTCAAATCCATGAGCTGCTCTATGGGAGAAGGATGGACAATCTCCTTCACCTCTGAAAACTCCCTGGAGGGTCATTTATGTGCTCGTTCCTTCTCCATGGCACACAACAGCTTTATGTGTATGCATATTTTATTTTAATCCATTAGCAGCACCCATAGAAGCAGCAGTGATAAAAATCAAATGACAAATTACATCACACAAATCTATTAATTGGCCTCCTTCAAGTGCAAAAAGAGTCACAGTATTTTCACTTCTCTCTTACGCATGTGGAAGTTAAACAATGAATAAGAGTGACTGAAGGAGAATTGATGGCTTTGAATTGTGGTGCCCACGAAGAATATTGACTGTCTTGTGGATTGTCAAGGAACAAGCAAATTTGCTTTGGATACAGTACAGCCAGAGTGGTTCTTAGAAGCTAGGCTGCTCTTGGCATGCTAGCAGCATGAGGGTCCAGTGTCCAGAAAAAGAACATCATGTTCATAAAATATCATGTGTAAGAAAAAAGAGGGAGACCCTCAATGAGATAAATTGACACAGAGGCTGCAACAATGAGTGTTTGAGTTTGTAAAATGAGCAGAGATTGTAAGAATGAGCAGAGAGTCTAAAAATGGTGCAATGTCTCACAGAATTTCCATCTGTTGTACATAAGGTCAATGTCAGTTAATGATACCTAACGGCAACATGAATGTGTGTGTGCTAACTATAATTTTGCTATTAATTTCTAAATAAGACTGAATTTGATGAGCAAAAGTAACCCAATGATTTGACCAGTGCAGTGTTAAGGCTAAGACTTCAGTGTCAGACCCTGGAAGAGCACAGAGAGCAAGGGAAAAGAGTGATATATGATATGGTTACTTGTGGGCAATGTGGATGCTAGAGCAACTCAAGTAATTTAATATCCTTTATAAAATGGGAATGAAAGTGGAAATCTCCTCAAATCAGTGTTTGCTCTACAAGTTATGGTTCCAATAATAAAATTTAGAATTATTATCCTCCATTCAATTTTTAGGAGAGTAAAAGATAGTGGGTCTATTTTTCCTAGTGAGATACAATGTCATTTTACTACATACAGTCTGATTCTTTGTTTAAACTAATAAACTAAATAAAGGCTACATATAAAATGCCAGCAATAAGATAAACAGAAAGAAATTAATTTTAATTGACCCAGTCAAGATTCTCTCTGAGGACAAAATCTTACTGGTTTGTTGCCAAATACCTTCAAGAGCATCCTCACTGTGTGACAGAAACCCTGCCAGATCTTTCCCCAAGCTAGTTCAAAAACTTTTAAGTTTATGGAAATTTTTTAAATTAAATTTGTATCTTTTATGAATGTTACACTATACTGTCAAATTCTCTGTTACAATATTTAAATTAATCTAATTATAGTATGATAATTAGATTATCACCTAATCTAATTCTTTTTAAAAAAACACATAATTACAGTATGATAATGATTCATTACACCTTATCCTGAAAGACTGCTCTTGATAATTTTAAAGGGCACTTACATAAATGCTATATCTAGTAATTTTAAAATGTTAGATTATTTCTCTGTGGCTTATACAATAGATATATGTCATTCTTTAATTAAAAAAAATCTATCTATTGGAAGACAAAGTATAGTTATGTTATTTTTATTAGGTTCAAATCCAGCTTCTTTTTCTTCTTTGCTCCCTTCTCCTCCTTCCTCTCTCCCTCCTCCTTTTCATCTTTTCATTTCCTTCTGATTTTTCTTTTACTTCTTTTCTCTCTTATAGACTTAAGGGGTAGGAATAACCTGGCAGTTGCAAAAGTAAATAGACTTTACCATGACTGCAAGATCAATTTGTGTTTATGTTATACTTAGACTCGGGACAACGCTGATGCCCATGGCCAACTTGTTATTTGTTGTTGTATACATTTGAGTTGGCACTGGCACTCCAGTGGCTTTTCAGAGGCAGTTAATCTTAATCACACGGGAGGAGACTGCCAATTTTTCTTCTAAGGTGCAGCTCATGGATTCAAACAACATGTTTTGGGTTGGCAGCCCAACTCCTTACCACTAAGCCAACAGAGGTGGCTCCTTAGATGGACCAACTAGATCAACAGAAAAGACTATGTGAGGGACAAGATTCAAAGAGAGAGAGAGAGAGAGAGAGTGTGTGTGTGTGTACGCTTGACTATGTACAGAACCAGTATGAAATGAGAGGCACTCACCAAAACCAGGTTTCTTCCATTACATTCATCATCATAAAGACATTAAAAATAATTTTCTAAAATTCAGTCACTTACTTCGGCTTCTATTAATGTCTCATGAGTTTTCTTCCCCCTAACTTTCAGTTTTTTCTTTGCCTTTTCCACATTTTTTCTAATAGATTTTCTCTTCTCCATTATTTGGCTAATTTCCTAGAAGATATTAAAATATTAAGATTTGTAATAATTAAGTCCAATTTCATGGGTTAAAACCAAATAGTACTTAAGTGACTTTTTATGTATTAATAGTGTTTTTGCAGTAAAAAGGAAAATAGCTAACACACATAAATTTCAAAAGCAAATAATGCTATCTAGTAATGCCAATATTCTCTTTAAAGCACATTTAGGTGATCAATTTTGTTACATATCAAAAACTTATATATATATTTTATATAAAATATTTTTATGTAATATGTTTTATATAAAATATCTTTTCTATATATCTGCCCTATGTAATATCTTTTATATATAATATCTTTTATATATATACACATCCATATCCTGCTCCAATTAAGTCAATTCTTACTCTTAAGGACTCTATAGGACTAGAGAGAAGTACTCTATGGAGTTTCTAAAACAAACTTCCATCACTTTTCTCTTTCTCCATATAAATTATGGTTTTCTGTTACAACATTTTAAAACACCTAAGTGAAATGGAAAGACTCTAAGTACCAATTTCCATAAATAAACAGTAAGAAGTATTCTTTCTAAAGTTTTTGCTAAATTTATTAACTATTAGCTAGAATAAAAATGATGACTGACGTCTAAGAAGATAAAAAGCTACAGCTAGTGTAAAATTAGAGAAAATCGTTAAACATCGTTAATTTTCCTGGAGCTCATTATCATACTCTGACAATTACACTAAGGCTTTTGATACAATGAATCAGTTTCCATCACTAATTAAGGGAGAGTTGCTACTAAAATAATTTATCCCACTAGGTGTTAATACTAGTTACATAGTCATGAGCTGAGCACTGAGGATAGCATCTTGAATCACATGGAAGTACAGAATAACCAGACCTTGTTTCTGTACTTTGTAATTCTTTGCAAATTCTTTAATCTATTTGATACCACGTTTTCTTCAAACCTCATGAATTTCCTCATATTTCATGAAAAGATTGTGAAAATTGAAGTAAATTTTAGTAATGGGAATACATTATAGATGACAATTTTTTTAAATGGAGGAATTTTTTTATTGTTATCCACAAGACCACCAGAGTTCCCATTTGTTTTTATTAAAATAAAGAATTTTATTTTTACAGTTCAGTGATAAAAAGCCACCTTGTCATATGTGAAAGTAGAGGAAGGAGGGGAAATGCAACAGTCCTGTTCCCAAGATAGCCCAGATCAATATATGTCCGTATTGTAGCTAAGGACAAGAATGCATAACACTTACCACACCCTCAAGCTTCTTAAAAAGACTAATGACATGATATATACACATTTCTCTACTAAAATATTTCTTTGGGAAGGGCTAGTAATATCAATTACTGACATATACTTGTTGTTTTGTAAATGTTTTATTCATGTGTGCTATATTTTTCATCTTAGCTGTCTTAATTTCTTCTAAATTCATCGAAAAATGTATCACCTTGAATATGTTGAGATACATTAAGTTTTATACTTAACATAAAAATAGCTTCCGAATTTTATTAACAAATTGTGAAATGCCAAGTAAATTTACCTCGTTAAGTGGATGATTCTACTTGTTAGATAACATCAAGTCAAGTGTAACCCATAAAATGCTTATGGACAAGATACCTGACCCTTGCCCCATCCTGTGCCATCCTCAGGATCCCTGATATTCTCACACCCATTGTTACAGTCACTGAGTCAACCCATTTTGTTGAGAATCTTCCTCTCTTTCACTGGCCTTTCCTGGCATGATGGCTTTTTCCAAAGATTGACCCCTCCTAACAACATCCTCTAGATTTGTGAGATGAAATCTCACCATCCAGGTCTCAAAGGAACACCCTGGTTGCATTTATTTCAAGATAGACTTCTTTGTTTCTTTTGGCAATCCCAATAATATTTGGTATTCATCTCTAACACCACAATTCAAAGGCACTGATTCTTCTTCTGACATCCTTATTCATTGTTGAACTTTGAAATGCATAGGAAATAAATGAAAACACAATGGCCTAGATCAGGCACACCACAAGCACGGAATTGAAAACTGTTTTTCCTGATAATCTTTGAAGATACTTTGTTGTTATTATGTGCCATCAATTTGGAACCAAATCAGATCTGGCCCGGCAGCAGTTTTCAGAGGCTGCAAATCACATGAGAGGAGACTGCACATTTTTTACTACCAGAGGTGTTGTTGGATTTGATCTAATACACTTTGGTTTGCCAGAACAACCACTTCTCATTAGACACTCAGACTCCATAGGAATAGATCCCAGGATTCTCAATAACAGCATTAAATGGCCTCACTGCAGAGTTCTATTATAAATCAATCGTGTGACCCTGTAATAGTACCACTTCAGGTGAAATAAATTTGTCTACGCTGTCACACCTTTGAGGCAAGGACAATGAAACTTTATCCATTGTGTATACTTTGGCTACGTCGTCAGAAGGAACCACTCCTTGGAAAAAGACACCACTGTGAGAAGGTGAAGGATAAGAAGGAGACTTTCAAGGAGATAGATAAATATAGTGACTGTAACAATGACATTGTTGTAGTGCTGATGGTGGTGCTGGTGGTGGTGCTGGTGGTGCTGGTGTACCACTGAGTTGACATTAACTCATAGCTGACACTGGGTTTTCAGAGGCTTTCATTCTCACGGGAGGAGACTGCCCATCTTTCTCTGATGCAACAGCTGGTGGATTTGAATGGCATGCATTTGAGCTAGCACAATAACCCCCTAAGCCACTAGAGCTTCTAACTGCAACAGTGTGCTTGGACATATCATAGCCTGTGATGGCAAAGGGTTGACCAAGTTTCAGTTTTGCTCGTCATAAGATCACTAAGAGCTGTTAGTCAACTTGACAGCACCCAACAACAACATGCGGAAATAGATTGTTTATGTTTTGACTGAATGATTAAGAAGTTACACTGCAATCCCAAAGGCAAGTGATTCAAATTCACCAGCTGCTCTGGTAGAAAGATGGGCAATCTCCTCCCATCCAGTTAAAGGCCTCTGAAAACCTATGGGAATGTCAGCTATGGTTTGATTCTGACTCTATAGCACACGACTACAATGCAAAAATCACAATTTTCCAAATAATTTTAAGTCACACAATTTGACAACCTTATTTATTCATAGGAGTTACTGTATAGATTCGTTTATACATACTTACATTATAATGTTGTTGATGGACACTTCTGACTCGGACAGCCTCTTGTTCTAATTCAACCAGCGGCTCTTTGAATTGCTCTAATATCAGTGTGTACAGTGCTTTCCTTTCAGTAAGGTCCAGCTCCTCCTGTTTCAGCATCTCTTGAATATTACACAGTTTTTTCTGCCAGCAAAAACAATCATTCATTCAGCTATTAAGTAAACAATTATTGAGCCACTATCTTAATCCAGACAGTGGTTTTTGCTTATTTGAAAATAAAATGACAAATGTTACACTAAAAGAAATGTGCAAAAAAATACAATGTCTATAAACAACACACTAATGGCAAAATTTAAAAAAAAATCAAACAAGAAGTATTAGTGTACAATCAAGGTAGAAACTATACAAAAATGTATTGCAAAGAAAGTGTCAGACATAATTAATAACAGGTTGTGCGGTTGTTATGCACCAACAAGTGAGAACTGATTCATGGCTGACCCTCCAGTAGGTTTCCAGAGGCTTTAAATCAGACGGACGATTGTTCATCTTCACACGCATACACGTAGGAGCTGGTGGATTTGATCAGCCTGCCTTTGAGCTGGCAGTGAAACTCTTTACCACTAACAAACAGGAAGGGGAGGTGAGGTAGACTTGATAGACCATGTAAATAATCTGCATATAGGGAAATCAATAACATGACATATTAAAAGCTGTAGATGCAGAGAAATACTGCTTCTATGTTTCAAAATACCCACGGTCCTAATAAAGGAAATTAAAAATATTTCATTTTAGAAAAAAGAAAAAACCTATTGGGAGTGCAGATAATGTCATATAAGTTTTCAAACATTGTTTTAAAATGGTTTGCGTCTTGATTTTACTTTTCTTGCAATTATAACTTCAAGTACGTCTATATTTTTGTTGGGTGTCTCTGAATGGGTTTCAATTGATAGTGGTCCTACCTGGAGGGCTGCAAATGCCCCACTGAGTTTCCTAGGCTGTGATATTTGTAAAGCAGACCTCCAGACTTTTATTTTAGTGGAAAGACAGATGGTCCGTGGATCGGAAAATTCCAATCTGTCTGTGCAAAAGATACTCAAAACTTATTGCCTTTGAGTTGGAACCAACTCATAGTTTACCCTCGTAGTAGGTCTTCAAGAGGCTCTTAATCGTAAAGGAAGAGATCGCCTCGCCCAACTTTCTCTCTCAGAACCACTGGTCAACCCACATTTTCTCTGGAGCTACACACCTCAAGAGAGGCATGGAGTTGACAGTAAAATTCCCTACTGATTATGTCAAAAGAGCACATTGCAGAGAAAGTTTAGTAGTAAATTAAAAACAGAACAAATTATTGCCCTGGAGTTGAATTCTACTCAAGAGTTGATCCTTTTGTGGGTTTTCAGAGGTTGTGAATTACATGACAGGAAACCGACCATTATCTTTCAAGAAGTGGCTGGGGGAACCAGAACTGCCTGCCTTAGGCTTGGTAGCACACTAGGCCAACCAGAGCCCTCCAGGAGTAAATGAAGAGCCATAAAATTAAGACTGTTTTGCCTCGTTATCATTTCATGTCAAGATTTTCATAAAGAAATATCTCATAGCATACTTCTTTCAGGGTTGAATAAAGAAGTTCAAGTGATGCCAGTAAAAGTAAAGAAAACATAACATCATCACAAAACCAACTAAAGAGTTAGACACTTAGGAATAAGATCCCACTGCCCTTTTACTAGACTGGCAGAAATTCCCATTAAGCCACAAAATGAGATATGTGTATGGAGGTCAGTCTTTCTTTATGCATGATCAGACACTGCTGGTTGTACACAGAGGGCAACTGTCATCAGCTCAGAAAAGAAAACTGCTGGCTTGCAAAGCAAGGAGCGCAAAGATGCCTCATTACAAGCACATTTAAAATGCTAAGTCAAATGCAAATTAAAGGAAGAATAAAATATTGAAAGCAAGCAAACGAGGATTACCTGAAACAGGACTGCCACGGACACTTCATTTCGAATGAGCTTTTTCAAGAAAACTTCTCTACCCTGTATATTAACAAATATGTTTAAATGGAGGTTTTGGTCACAGAAAATATTTTAAAGACAGTTGGTAAAGAGATATATATTTATACATATGTATGTTGTTGTTAGGTACTGTCGAGTTAGAACTGACTCATAGCTGA